GCTGCTTCCATAAATATGGACATGCTGGTCGCCTAGGGGAAACACCTTACTGCCTTCACACTCCTGTCGCAGAGGACAGTACGACTTTACCCCCAGACCGCCTCGTACCACGATTACTCGTAGTGCGGGGTCTCGCTGCTCCCCTTTGGCCTTCCTGGCATGGTTAGACCTTGTGGAACGAAGTTCCAGCCAGTGCAGCCCGCGGGATCATTGCAGCACTCAAGCCCGACCACCACGTCAAGGTGGCAGCTTTAGGTCGGGACGGTAAGGTCCAGTCTCTTCGTGACGGCCAACGAAGGACACAAGTAAGCAAACGTGACTGAAGCCTCTGGGATTTGTTTACTGAACAGGGCTTCTGCTTGGCCTTTGACTTCAAAGATGAGTACGACATTGTCTGTGTACTTCCGATCGACAACATTCTCGCCGGTAATGATTTGAACGCCTGAGATTTGAAGACCTCCCAGCGTCTACTTCATTACTACATCAAAGTATGCCCAGGAAGTTTTTAGATTATTCGGGACGTCAGCGTATACGGAGAGCTCTCCAAAAGCTTACGTGCACAAAGCGGTGTCCACCACAGGTGCCCACTGTCTCCATTTCTATTTGATCTCGTGATCGACGAGATAATGGGACGAACGCTGGAAGGTCCACAAAACCCGTGTTCAAGCAGCAGCTGACGAAGCCTTGTCGATCTGGAACATGCCAACATCATTCTTGTCTTCGAAGAGGACGAGAAGGCGCAATTGCTTTTGGCTGAATTGACCAGTCATTCCGTCCTGTGGTACGCACTTTTCACCCACCTTGCTCCTGGACATGCAGTCACGCCACTTGCACTCCACAGAGGCGTTCGAAACTGTGAAGCGTTTTACGTACCTTGGACGTTGTATCTGTTTTGACTGTAGGATGACAGATGAGATCAACGCAAGACTCTGCACGTTCCCGGTCGTCTTTGATAATTGGAGACATTTATGGCAGCAAGACGGCGTATCCCCAAGTCTCAAGTGTGTATCAGGCTACAGTACGGGCTATTTTGTTAAATGGCTGTGAAGCTTGGTCTATTCGAGCAGCGGAACTGCGACGTCTTTAGGCGTTCAACAACCATTGTCTCAGAATTATGGGTCGTGTGGGTTGGTCTCGGAGAATCCGTAACAAGGCTATCAGAAAGCAAGTTTTCGGTTGTGCAACGGGAACTGTGTCCAGCACCAGAAGCTATGTTGGTTAGGCCATGTACTGCGTAAGCCGAGCAATAGTTTGTACAAGAGCGTGCTGCTTTCCGTGCCCAAGTGAGAGTGGCGGAAGCAGAGAGGTGACAGATCTTTAACATGGCAGAGGAGACGATGAACAGTCTGTGTACTGTGGGTGCGACTCTGCTTCCAGGATGGGAACCACCTGATCCCCATTACACCTGGTTAGAGACGCAGTAAGGTACAGCCGCCAATCGACGTCAGTGTTCTTGTTGTTAGTTTCCGTCTAGACCGCCTGAGTGAGTGTTTGAAGGTGTAGCTCAGAACGATTGTTGCAGACTAGTGCTAAGTCCCTTACTCGTCCACTTTTAATAGTTCATTCGGAATAAGCCTTTAAAATAAATAATGTTTATACAGCAGTGAAGCATCAGTGTTCATCAGTGACGTTATGCTGCCAAAGATGATGATTATGATGATGATCGGACAATTTGGCAGGTTCTCGAGGAGTTGGAGTCCAGTGGCTTCTCAACGGTCAAGAGAGGGACGCGCATTGAAGAAACCTGAAAAGTTGGGTGGAAAAAAGAAGCGAACTATTGCTGGTCGAAGTCGACGCCGGTAATACAGCAGGTGCGACATAGTGAAAAACCCAAGCTACCGGTAACTGACGGCAATATGGTCTATTAGGAATCGGGGCAGGTTCGTTGGTGGGCACCACGTTGTCAAGCGATTTCCGCTGTTCCGGAAATTGGTACTGCAAAAGAACCCCGGGTGATCGGCACGCATCTGAAGCAGGTGCTGTCCGTTATCCGTGGTCTTCGTATCCAACCCAAGACGACCACCCAATGGGGCCTCAGCAGCTCTTAGTTTACCTACCTGAGCGTTCATGTCACCAACAACCACGATACCTGACATTTTAACGCATGATAGAAGAGCATCTAGAGCGTCACAGAAACTGTCTTTGACAGATTCAGAGCTATAGTCCGTTCGGGTGTAAGCAAACACAATAAACAGGCAGTGATTGATCTCATTTTACCAACAGAGGTGAGCAGCCGGAAAAGAGTGGGCGGATAATCAGTTCAGTTGCAGTACTTACATCCTATATCAATGATTCTGACAGACAATATACACCAATGCAGAGGGAACCGAGCGTACAAACGAGGGTCGCTGGATATCCTGTTTGCATCGGTGTGTGAACAGTAAAGGCACGTAAGTAGACGAACTTTCGGGGTTTGAAATCAGACTTCCAAGGATTGTTACTGAAACCAGGCGCACAGAAACTGCAGCTGACCGTGGTGCATGGCGAACAAAGCTGTTATTCTTAGCGCTGGGACCTGCGAGAAGAGTATTCTAATTGGAGTGGGATAGGGTTGAAGAGGGAATGCGTGAAAATGTAAGAAGGGAGATGCCAATAGTCATATGTTTTCGCCAACCCACATTGCTGTACGCAGCATGTAAGGCGACCCGGTTGTTCACACCACGTGACGGAAGATGTGGCATGAGTATTTTTAGTTTTATCACCATTGTAGATGATAGGTGATCGTTCGGTGTAACACCTTTTCGGTGCCTAGCTGTCACGCCACCTGAAGGTAGCACGACAGCTGAGATACCGCCAGAATGCCCAAGCCTAGAGAGCAGCAGTTGAGATGCAGAGGTTAGGTTCGAACTGCGGACCTATGGGACACTACGTTCTCATCTTAGCCACTGAGCGATCTGTTTCGGCGGGAAGTGAAAGTGCAATACCAATTTCATAAAACAAGTCGCTGCACATGATCCAACCACCAACATGGGGGCCACGACATTGTGTTGGTCGGACCTCTAACGACTGACCGACTTGGTGTGAGCTGTGATTATCACATAGAAGGCCGCCCCCTCAGTATGGTCCAATTGTTCACGGGCGCACGCCAACCGTCACACCGGACAAACAGACGGGACAGACTCTGAAGCAGGACAACAGGCTTCTGTTCCTCTCACACAGGACTCGATTGAAATTTGTGTGCTGGGTATCAGAAAAAAGAAATTGGAAATCGAGCCACAATCACTGAGTCAACTGCCTCTATCTATATCCTGCGGCAGCCGGCTGCGAACCATTGGCGGCTCAGAGACCACTGCGACAGGCTGCGACAGTCATCGGGCGGAATACCCCCACTCGTGTGGATATCCGGCGATGATGGTCTCCGTGCGGCTGATGCTATTTCCACAAACTCGTTAAAAATTGCTCGTTAGTTCTTCCCATACAAATTGAACCTGCATGATAAATACCTCGTTTTCGACTGTATGGTTATACGCAGCCGCTGAATGGCGCTATAGGTATCACTGATTTGTGTCAACAACAATCTCATCAGATGCATGTAGAGACCGTGTAAGTCGCCGGGGAACGTACTTAAAAAAAACACCTTAGGCAAAGACGGAGTGCGACTGGAACAAACACTCAAAAACGCTGTTGCAGTGCATATAAACCAAATTATGACTCTATTTGTTTTTAAAATCCCACGGAGCCTTTCGTAAACTCCTCACAGGTCAAAAAATGAAAAATCGAAAATTTGTGGTAATAGTGATATTTCCTCCGTGCAGCTTGTATGCCACCGTTTGTAAGGAAGTCTCACAATTGGCAAGTCCATCGTCCTAGCGTACACTCCAACCGACTGTAACTTTGAAGCCATCAGAGATCCAAGCGACAAGTTCAGTGGCATCCCTGAAACACAGCCAACACCTTATCTTCCCTTCCCCATACTAAGAATAACCAACTTGCCAAACAGCAACGCTCACAACTACGATGTTCGGGACGGCTGGCATATAAATGGACATGCGAAAAAAAACTCGACGGGCACTTCTTGGACGTAACCACAGAGCTGGAAGAAGGCAGGTCGGTATGCCTAATGCCCCGACTTATAGGACCAGTCACTCTTCCTGATGAAGAAGCCAAGAAGTATATGCCTATAGGCATTGAGAAACAGTATCTAATGTGAATACACCGACACATAACCAACCAAGGAGTCATGAGTCCGAGTATAATTGACGCAAAAACCACATGGTTATTTACCTAGGTCACACCGAAAAATGTCAAACAAACTCACAATTCTCTGATCAACATTGTTCAAGTTTGGGACCTACGGAGCCCCGCTGAACTGAGCCTTCAAACACGTCCGATCCTCACAAGGCCGAGCTACCAGACAAACTTTCAGATTCAGAATCAGGAATTGACGAGACCCAAATAATTTTTCCCGAAACTATAGCGTTTTCCAAGTTTTTATTTTTACGGAGAGTTAGTCTAATCCGTTTGCATCTTTCGCTGACATGTTGCTCATATCATTTTGTTTGGGTGAGCGAAATTTCAAGGTCACGGACCACCGGCGATTTCCCTTTTATTCCGGTCTACGCGACATAAAACACGAAATCGAACTTGGAGTTCTTCGGTGTTCAATAAGAATAACACGAGATCTATATAATACAATTTCCATCCTGGAAAATCGGTCATTAGCTTTTCTTTGCATTTCGCTCCTCAGATTCACGGATTCACGGATTGTACACAGGATCGAGGCTATTGCCCAAGTTTCCAGGGTCGGTTTTGTTCTTGTCGGTCAGTGGCTGTCGTTCACCTGAAAGGCACAGGTGAAAAAAGGGTGTAGCACTGCTCTTTATGTTCTCAGTGCGGGGCAGTATGCTTGCCGGCGCGAGGATTCGCATAAATAAATGTCTAATAGTGCTTTAAA